CTAACTTTTTTGTATATTTGTAGTTTGTTGTGTTCGAAATGGAAAATCATAGTTCCGAGGTTACCAAACACGCACTCCACCGACCTGACGCACTGCTTGACCAGCAAACACTTTAACAGTAAATATGTGTCTGACCTACGGCCACTATTCACCTGCTATTATCACTCTTGTCACTGTGCGATGTCACTGAGCAATTGCATATGCGCTCCTGCTAGAAAGTTGCTGGACAAATGCACAAGCTCATTTTAAATCGGAGCCAGATGTTACCGGGAGGAGGTCGGTCAGACGTCCATACATGGAGCATGAACTGAGCCCTGAGCCATGTCGGCCCGGATCAGCCCTCTCACCGCCAGTCAAGATGAAATGATGACCTTCAAAAGGTCACCGTCCTTATGGTTCATGACAGCAATTCGCAGAAACTATCTAAACAAGAGTGCGTGCACAGTGTGAGCTGTGGGAATTATCTTGTCATGGGGAGTATAAATAAACCCTGGGGGATGGTTAGATAACTTTATTTAGTGAAGACGTCTGTACAAAACAAGGACAATAGACATACCTCTGTGGGGATAAGTAGCCTGACCCCCATGTATCACCAGGGCAGTTAGGAGAGGAATGGCTAAGATAGGTTGCAACATCTTTCCGATGAACTCTTGCTGCTGATCACAGATAATATAAATGTTGACGATTCAACATGAGCAGATTGAATCCAGAGGTCCCAAGCTGCCTTCTCAAGTTGCTAATTCGGCGCAGTTCTGGATGAAATGTGTTTTTCAGCAGTAGACTTGTGGTGCAGAGACGGCTCCACACGTCAGGCTCCTGCACGTCTGAAATCTTCACGACGTTTGTGCAGTTGACCTGAGGTTGTAGTTGACCTGAGCTCCTATCAACAACGGGGCACAGAGTACTACTGCAGTTGGCGTTGCACCACAGACTAACTCGAGTCGCCTCTTCAGTCCTTTTATAATATTTTTCACCGGAAGCGAAGCGCCCACGTTGGGTGACACAATGACTTCCCCCGCCCCGCTGGCTCGACAAGGACTTCCCGTATCGTTCTGTTTACGCACCTCATCCTCTGGCTAGTTCCACCATGCGGGCGGTAATAGGAATGTGGCCGACTCCAAAGGTCGTAGGTGGCGATCACTGATGACAGACAGCGTGTTAGGATGGATCTCCTGGATATGTCTCAACCAGGGAAAAGGCTGCCCGCGGGGCACCTTTAATTTTACCCCAACCCCGCCAGTCTGTTACGGCTGGGCTCAAACAAGGCGTTATGACCTTTTCAGGTTTATTCGACTGCTTGTTCAGCATTTCTACCAGCAACCTGTGGAAAATTAATGTTACAGCAAGATAATTTATTGTGACGTGGGTGTTTTATAGCTAATATATCAACAAGTCAATTTGGCAGTCCCAAGCGGCAGCTCAGCGTTTTCCGAAGTGCCAAGGTTCACATGTGAAGTTCGCATGTGAAGTTCATTACCGTTACTGAATAATAACTGTAAGTTACTGTCTGTATTAAAAACTGAGAAACAGCAATTGAATTACATTTGGGAAAGATAGAAGATTCACCAAGCAAAAGAACTCTACTATTCTACCATTATTATTAATATTACTCTATGTACGCCATACTGAGTAGAGAAGAGTAATCTAGAGTAGTTAGTAGGTGTTTTTTTCAAGAAGGTTATGTTTTCAGAGGCGTCCGTGTTTGTGTGTGTCTGTGTCTGTGTGTGATCATGTCTGTGTGTCTGTCTGTCTGTAAACACGATAACTTGAGAAGGCTTAATTGGATTGACTTGATATTTGGTAGGTAGGTCTTGATGGGACCTTGAAATGTAATGCAGCTACATTTCCTGTTTTGATATCTCATGACCTAAACAAGCTCAAGCTAGGATGACGAAAGTTGTATGATAGGTAGCTCTCGTTATGGGGAAGAAGTGACGTTAGTTTGGTCCCTTAGCAGCATGCTCTGGAACTGCAGGGGCGTTTGTTTAATTATATACAAAAGAGGATAACTCAAGAACCGGTTGACGGATCGTCGTGATTTTTGGTATGCTTGATGTAATTATGTACCAATTATGCAAATATGTATGTAATTTGCATAATTTATGAAGAGATTATATAAACCAGCTGCATTACATGATAGGACTATTCAAGCGTGTGGCATATGTAATTGAGAACGAGAGAAAGACAGGCAGATATCGATGGTGTAAATTAATACTCAATTTGCATATTTAATGAGAAAATGTTACAATTCAACAATGGTAAGGGCCTGGAATTTCATACTTAGGGCATTCGAAAGTTAAGTGAATGTGAATATCATTAAACATAACTTATTCAAATAAGGACCTCATTTGCATAATTTGATTTATGCTACAATGGCTTTCTTTGATAAAATAAGACTGTCTTTTGTTGGATAATATGATCAACTGATATAAATGCAAATGATGATCCTATTTGCATAATTAGTGGGACTTTTGTCAGTCATAAAGATTAACATCATTTGGCAAAAATATGAGGTCGTGGAACTCTGCTCTTTATTGTTTTAATTGTTGTCAATTCAATAAAGATGATGTCAGACACTGTACGTTCGACCGATGGTGACGATAATGATGAGTACAATGTAACGTTATGTGTCCTTCGGCCCGAACACGCCCAAGAGTCATGATGTGTGCATCGTCATGATGTATGTGTATGTCACAGTATGTGTGTGTGTGTGTGTGTGTCAGTGTGTGTGTGTGTGTGTGCGTGTTACATGTGTATGCCACAGTGTGTGTCACAGTCAGTGGGTGGGTGTGAGTGCATGCGACTAGTTGAGCTTCAAACAGACTTCAAACCAACCTACTAGAAAAACATATGATATAGACATATTAAAAGGCCTTGATCTGGGAATCTCTGATGGAGGCTCCTAACCAAAGCTAGATAGTCATTTTCACCGGCTGAGTGAAGTGTGAGAACAGACGTCATAAGGTACAAAGATCGGGGCATGTAGGTGGGTCGGAACCTAACCCATTTTGGTGCGAGTGAGTGAGTTTGTTTGTGTGTCAGTGTGTGTGTGTGTGTGTGTGTGTGTTTGTTGTTGTGTGTGTGTGTGTGTGTGTGTGTGTGTGTGTGTGTGTGTGTGTGTGTGTGTACCTGTGTTGGTGTGGGTCATGCGTTGAAAAACTTTAAAAACTTTCAAACTATTTATTTATTTGCGTCATTTTATACAGGGTGGCCCATTAAGTGATTGCTCTTCTTTGCACCTGAGGATGGTGGGCTCCCTGTGCCTGAAAAAGAAATCCTATATTAGACGTGTCTCTAGTAGTATTATTGGCCGTGCCCCTCTGAAATATAGAACGTGCGAATTCGCTGTGATCATTTATTTGTTGAAAACGAGATACATTTCTTACTTGACTGTACATTATATGAAGATGAACGCCAAGCACTATTCAAAACTTTACAATTAGACAAGACATGTAAGAAAATAGACACTTTCGTTGTGTCATGCAGGAATTAAGGTATAGTCTGGCCATTTTACTGTTTACTATTTCATCATGTCCAATTTTCTTGTAATTAGCCCCCGGGCGTGAATTTGCAATACACTTTTTAAAAACTGTGTCCGTGCATGTTCAGCGAAACACTACGAGCTACAACCGTGCACAACTTGTATGTTCTGATTCCCATGCTAGGTTCAGGGACTTGGATGAATGCGTTCTTGGTGCCTTCTACTATCGGAGCATAAATTACTGAATTCGTGCTTTCCTTTGTGTTGTCTCTTTTCATTCGGGCTTTGTGCCCTCTGTGCTTTTTTCGACGGGCACCTGAAGCCAGTGCCGGCCTCCACACCCTCCACCCCGCCCATCCTGGTCCGTCCCTGAAATGTTGTGACCTGACTGTCTGCCAGCCTGCGGGGGTTGTACCACTGGGGATTGACTACAGTGAGTTTCGCAACACAGACCCAAAGTAGTTGTTGACTTAAATAGAACAACAACGAGGTTTCTCGGACGTTTTGTCTGAATCATGTGAATGTCCAGACACGAGGATTCCGTACGAGCTTTCTACTATTTGTAAGAATCGTAGCAATAAAACAACAAGTATTTCAAAAGATAGAACATACAACTGATATCATTGCAGCGCAACAGGTATGTTTGTTTACATATGCGTCAATGAGAAGCACGCAAACAATTCGACCTGTAGTCTGTAGTAGAATATGGCAGCACGGATGTGTGCGAACCTGAGAGAAATGTCAGCGATCTAGTTTGTGGGTGAGGTTTCCGTGTCTGGGGGAGAGTGCGTCAGAAGACC